TTCAAACTTATTAATAAATAAATAAAAAATATATATTTTTCAGCTTTTATTAAAAATATTATTAAACATACAAGAACTGTCCTGAAATCAAAACTATATTAGGTATTTACTTTAGATGATCTATGCTTATTTTGCTATCAATATGGTAATCGTAAATCATACAGGATGTTCAAAATTCTGGGCCAAACTTTCTAAAACACAAAATAATTTTTCTTGTTTTTTTTAACGGATCACCGTGTATATTATTTTTTCTATAGATAGGGAATTAAAAAATGAATATTTTTTGTACTAAGGGTGTTTCAAAATGCATAACATTTCGCAGATATTCGCGGTTTTATATTTCATATGGAAAGAGCCATATGAAATAAAACTGCATGTATCTGTAAAACCATTAAAAATTTTAGAATACTTTAAATACAAAAAATGTTCATTTTTAACTATCCATTTAATAAAAAAATAATATACAGAGTGTCCCATTAAAAAAAAATATATTTTATATTTTAGAAAGTTACTCATATCTTCATCAGGATTATGTAAAGTGATCTGAAAGGAAGCTGAAAATGCAATAATATACAGAGTGCTCCATTTAAAAAAATTCTCCCGATCGACTTACACATTTTTGAGCCACCCTGTAGATGTTAAAATATTTACCTGAAATGCATACTTTAGGTCAGCACTTAAACAAAATTCTCAAGTTCTTTATTTTAGTAGCTACACTGATAAAAAAGATAGACTTGAACTAAAGTCGTCATCGTTCTTGAAAAAAAAATTAGTGGCAAGAGAATTTATTTTATCGTAAAAGAAAATATTTTGCCTGAAGAAAAACTCTCTTAACTCAAGAAAACTTGTTCTCTTGATAAATTCGAAAATTTCTCTTGAATCTATTTTCATTCAATCAAATGCAAGTTACTTTGTTTTAAGATAATAACAAAAATACGCTGGGAAGTACTTCATTCAAGAAACATGGCCATTTGTCCAATAGCTAAATACTCTCTTGATGAAAAATAATAACGACACGCAAAGACGATGACGAAGGACGGTATATACAATCAGTCGGCCGCGGCAGTCCGATCAGTCGCACGTCGCATTTCATAGGCACATCATAGTAAGCACGGGTTTTGTTGCTTGGAATTTTCCACTTGCAATTTTGCATAATTTGCTTTTTAAACGCATATCGTATAACAAATTAGTGATCGTTATTAACATGCATTTGTCATTTTTTATGGACAAATTTTAGGATATATGGATGCTTCAAAGGAGTTTCTGAAAAAAATGGAAATTAGAGCATTTATTTGCTATATTTGAAGGTAAGAGACATTTACCTAATGCACCTGTTTAGATAATGCATGCGTGTCTATAGATAGAATAAGAATATATGTATCGATTTTTTTCCGCAAATAATTACAAAAATTTTAGAATTTTAGAAAGTCGTCGTATTAAAAAATTCAAAATGTGACCAAAACTTATAATTTTAATAATTTGTTTGCTTTACTTTGATTAATCGTGATGTTTTGATTAATCGTGATTAATCATGTTGTGATGTTAGGCTCACAAAAGCTAGAGTAGATGCCGAATGCGGCACTGACCACCGACTTTTAATTTCAAAAATGAAAATCCAGTTAAAACCCAAACATCCATGCTGTAAAAAGCAAAACATGACCAGATTGAACGTACGGGGTCTAGAAAACAACAATACCGCCGACGCCCTCCGGGAAGCCATCAAAGAATCACTTCCACCGATAACTTCAATCTCAGTATTGGAAGCTGAACAAGGCTGGACACAATTAAGGGATGCGATTCATAAAACCAGCGAAGCAGTACTGGGAAAGTCGAACAAAAGAAACAACCAGACTGGTTTGACGAAAATCAACCGCATATACAGGCTTTGTTGGAACAAAAGCATAGAGCATATCAAGCCGTCACTGCAAATCCACATAATCCAAGACTGGTAGACAACTTTAAAGCAGCCAACAACACGCTTCGAAGAGAACTGCGCCAAGTAAAGGATAACTGGTGGTCACAAAAAGCGAATCAGATTCAAGAGTACGCCACGCATCACGATTATCGTAAATTCTTCGAGGCTGTAAAAGAAGTATACGGCCCAACTAAGAAGGTAAGCTGCCCAATCATGGCTCAAAATGGCGAACTTCTAAAAGAGGAAGAACAAATTAGAAATCGCTGGAAAGAACATTACAGCCATATCCTTAACCAAGAAAACAACCCCAATATGGAAGCATTAAACACAATACCTCAGTATAACAGCCTCGATGTATTAGACATCCCAATAACAGAACAAGAAATAAAGACCTCCATAAAACAGCTTAAAAACAACAAATCAGCGGCTGTGACGCGATTCCGGCGGAAATCTATAAGTGTGCAAGTAAAGAACTTATTGGTCATCTTAAGGCTCTCTTCGATGTCGTATGGGAAAGCGGAGAGGTACCTCAGGACTTTCGCAACGCGAATATACTGAATAATTTAAGAACACAGGAAGTGCATCAGATTGCGGAAATTACCGTGGAATTTCGCTATTGGCTATCGGCGGAAAAATTCTTGCAAAAATAATGTCAAACCGCCTGCACCCATATATAGAAAAAATCCTTCCAGAATCGCAAACGGGTTTTCGTACCAACCGCGGCACCGTCGATTCCATATTTTCCATCCGTCAACTACAGGAAAAAGCAATAGAGCAGCAGTCTAAACTTTATGTTGCATTCATCGATCTAACAAAAGCCTTCGACTCTGTGAACAGAGATGCGCTTTGGGCAATTATGAAAAAGTTCGAAGTACCCAACAAATTTCTTACACTGTGTAAAAGCCTCCATAACAACAACAAGTCAAGAGTGTCACATCATAGATCACTGAGCGACCCATTCCTAACAAATACAGGAGTTAGGCAGGTCTTAGCGCCTCTCCTATTCAACATATTCATGGCAGCGCTCTCCATTATAGTGGACAGCAAACTGCAGGAGAGAGGATTGGGCATATACCGATATGACGGCGGTCTGTTCAACATAAAAAGACTCAGGCAAAAACACGTACAAAATTTATCACAGAACTTCAATACGCTGACGACTGCGCTCTAGTTGCAAACACGGTACAACAATTACAAGAAATGTTGAACACATATACCTGGGCATACGAGGCTTTGGGCCTTAAGCTGAACATCGGCAAAACTAAAATCATGTGCACTCCCCCGGAAGATCACAACAATGCTATAAAAATCGGAGAAGAACTATTCGAATATGTGGCGGAATTCAATTACCTTGGCAGTTTGATTTCGGAAAAGGCCAATATTGACTCTGAAATTCAGCACAGGATTAGTAGCGCCTCAAGAGCATTCTGGAAATTAAAAGACAGGGTTTTCTACAATCATGACTTGAGTACAAAAACAAAACTTGCAGTATACCGAGCAATTATAATCCCCACCATGATATATGGGAGCGAAACCTGGGTGCCTTACCGCCGACACATGAACGCATTGAACAAGTTGCAACAGAGACACCTTAGACAACTCTTAAGAGTCCGGTGGTTCCATCATGTCTCAAACGTATCGGTCCTTGAAAAATCTAACTGCGAGAGTATTGAAGTCATGGTCACAAAATCCCGCTTAAGATGGGCTGGTCACGTATGCAGAATGCAAGAAAACCGCATACCAAAATCTCTGCTTTACGGTGAGCTTGTGGACGGTAAGAGGAGGCCGGGTGGACAACTGAAAAGATACAAGGACATTTTCCACGAAAATTTAAAGGGAATTAACATGCAGAATGAGTGGGAAAAAGCAGCTCACAATAGAACTCAATGGAGAAGGGTTGTAAACTCAGTTAACAGCGGCAACCAAAAAGTAGAGAGGCAACAAAGCAATGAGATTTTTGAATGTCCGGAGTGCGGTAGGCAGATAACATCACGTATCGGGCTTTTCAGTCACAGAAAAGCTCATGAAAGAAAACGCCTTGCGTGACCATTTTCTTTATGTGTGTCGAATACTCGTCAGCGAGTAACGGCTGTATGTACGGCTGTATGTATGTAATCGTGATGTACCATTTTTTTGTAATTTGTAGAGTGACGAACCACCCCAAAAAATACCAAGGAGTGAAGAAACAGAAATAACTACTATCGAGGAAAATAATATCATTACTTACTACAGACCAGGAAAACCTAAATTTATCAGAAAATAATATACCTCGTAATATGCCTGTATATGATGTATATACTTCTCTTAGATCAAAATAAATTTTAGTTGAGTCAATAGTATTCGCTATTGGTTTAAGAAAAGTGTCTCTTTAATTAAGAAATGTCCCTTTTCAATCAAGAATTTTTGCATGAATCAAAGAGACTATTGTTCATCTAGCAAGAACTTCTTTGCATATTCATTTTGGGTCAAGAGTGAAATACCTTGGACAGATAGATTATTCTATTCTCTAAAGAAATTTTTTAAAGCTTATGAAAAGATAGTTAATACTTTGGGCAAAGAAACGTCGTTCTTGGCCCTATTGAAAAGCGCCAATCTTTTGGGTCAAAGTCATATTCATTTCGACTGAGAGATCCTTTTTTTCAGTGTAGGTACAGATGACCGACGCACTATTGCCGGGCCCTGCATATCTCGTAATTAATTATATTTAAAAAAATACAATAAATTATTGACACAATACAAGCCTGTAATGCTTTATTATGCCACTATCCAAATTGGTAATACGCGTTTACTTTCATGCGTAGGTATTCTCCTACAATCATTCCTCGATCAATAATAAATTAAACAAATGCATTATTGAAAAGTTCGTGTATGTTTTCAGTAGTTTCCACGTACCACGAATGTGGAAGGAATTACCTTGGAAACAGTTTTCCCATGGTGGCGTTTTAAAATTGCTGACGTCACCACATCGTTCGTTAGCGTCGTGGGCACAATAAACCGTGCTATCGATTATTTCAGGAAACCCTTCAGGCTCTTATCTAGTTTAGGCTAAATATCCCAACGGTGTCGGTCGATCGATATGCAATGTACGACAATTTTTAAGCATGTTTTTTTGTTTATATACTCTTTTTAGTTGATTTAGTGTTCGTTGTTTAGTTAGTTAATTTAGTAATTCCTCTACTGGTTAATAAGCCCAAGGTACATTCTTTTATTATGAATTTAATAACTTTCTTAAATAGATAACTAATAATCTGAAATACTGTTTATAAGTTACTGCTTTAAAATATATATCTTATATTATACAGGACTAGTCTTAAATAATTGCAAGTATTTTTAGGAGTAGTATATTTCGACTCCCGAAACACGATTATAAGGTATTTTTCGCGAAATTTTTTTTTTGAAAATTCGGATTTTTTTTAAAAAACTTTTGGAACTTTTTTTAGCTTTTAGTTAAAAAACATAATATCTTAGTCTTCTTAATATAACATTTTTTTTGGAAATTTTCAAAGAGAAAATATGTTTCTTTTATGGAGATCTACCAGCCATGAAAATATTTACACTTATTTAAGACTCACCCTGTATACCGGGTGCGTCTCACAAGTGGCTCAACCCTATAACTTTTTTATTTTTTCAGATAAAAAAACGAGATTTGGTATGTTAGTATATGACATAAATTAGGATTGATTGACCTATTCAATTGTTTTTGGTCACTTCCTGTTTCACCGGAAATGACTACAACTTTTGATTTTTAAATGACATCCTCGGTATTTTTTTACTTTATTCGATAGAAAATGACACTCTGAATAGAATGAAACATACATGTCATATGTCAACTTTTGATATTTTTGCATATGGTTTATTTGAAATTGGAACATACGGTTCATAACGATAATTTGACTCGAAATACCAAGTGTGTGGTACCAAATTATTGGAAAAATTGCTTTCTCCAAATATGCTAATGAGCCACCCTTGTTCCATTTGAAAAAATTGAGATATGATTAAAAATACGATTTAGGCATCTTAGCCGGCCAGGATAAGCCACGAAAAACATTAGACGATCAAAATTATTTTCCAAGACTCCATGATTAAAAAAATTTTTTGTAAGCGAAAAAGTCAGAAGTTGACATATGATATGTTCATTTTCTATCAAATAAAGTAAAAATATTTCGAGGGTGCCATGTAAAAATCAAAAGTTGTAGTCATTTCCGGTGAAACAGAAAGTGACCGAAAACAAATGAATACGTCAATCAATCCTAATTTATGTCATATACTAACATACAAAATCTCGTTTTTTGTCTGAAAAAATAAAAAAGTTATAGGGGATGAGCGCACCCAGTATAAGTACCACCACTCAGTGGTTTTTTCCTAACCAATGAAAAATACTTGACGTTTCAGAGGTTATATATTTCCCCATTGTCAGAAACAAAAAGTAAAAAGAATATGACGAAGACTATTTAAAATAACTAAATATTTTTCGAAAATCAAAAAATGTAAGAAAAATGTAGTTTCCGATGAAATATCTTGTATACAGTATAATTAGTACGTACTATTCATAGTTATATATTTTAAGGATACATCTAAATGCCAGTGGATACAAAAAAAAACTTTGTATTCTGATACAACAAAGTTGATAAATATAAAATAAAAAATAAATTTGTCTTGAACAGAGTTTAAAATTTAACAAAAATGTATCTCATATTTATAAAAAAAAACGTACCTTTTTTAACTTCAAAAACTTAACATTTATCATGATTTTTAATGTCTAAAATAATTTAAAATACACCACTAAATATTATTAAAATGCATTCGTTTTCTTGAAGGAACATAACGATTACACGAGCAACACGTCAGAAATTGTTACATTATTAATTCATTAAAATCATTTAAAATTTAATAAAATTTATATCGACTGCTGGATAAAATCGACTGCTACCAACTCGATTAATTGAAATTTTGGTAAATCCGGAGATTATAATAAAATTTGAGAATTTCAAGGTTCTCTTTCTTCCAATTTTATGGTTCTTGAATATCGAAAGTAAAAATTTAGATTTAATAGCATTTTTGTATGCGTCGACCAAAATGATTATTGATCGTTCTTTCTTAATTTCAGTGTTATTTGACCTTTTCCTCAACTGAATAGCTATTAGGAAGGTGTAGTTTGATAGCTGAAGTAGTAAAGATCCAGCAGGAATGGAATAGGAGGTAACTGGTGTCTAACACGGCGGCGCTATTTACCAGGTATGTTAATTTTTTTTTCTGTTATTTTTGATAAACTAGTGGTTGCTATGAAAGTAAGCATAACATATTGGATCACAGGCTATTCACTAATAATTTAAAGAAGGCGTCCATTCTTCTCAAAGAGACCTGGTTTAAATTAAAAAGAAGTAGAAAAAAGACTCAAAGTCTCGGTCTCAACGTTTAATTAAGTTAAATAGTTACACGTGTTTCTCTCATACGAGCATCATCAGACAAAAATAATCAGAGTCAATCCACACACAAGTTCACATTTTACATATTAAAACAATAGTTGTTTTAATAACAACGGTTGAGCGAAACACGCGTGTCACTGTTAACAATATAAACGTTGAGACCGAGACTTTGAGTCTTTTTTCTACTTCTTTTTATTCATTAGTAATCGAAATGGCAGATTATTCCCTTATAATTATGATGCCATGCAATTGCCAAGTAATTATAATTATTACATAAATATAAATATCTAATATGAATACTAACAATTTATAAAAAATTGTTGAATAGGTGCTTAAGTAAAAATTAATCAAAATAAACTGAGGCGTTTTGACATGAGATCTTACAACTTTTTATAGTAGTTGTGAGAGTTGGCATTTTTTACATTCTATGTTTTTGATGGGATATAATGTTTGTCCATTTGTATTATCTAAATGTATAGGTAATAAAATGCATTAAAATGGGCAGATGGATAAATTTATTGTACAGGGTGGGTCAAACTGGACGTTTTTAAAGGGAAACACCCTTTTCTATAGGAGATGAAAACTAATGGTGTCTGGAGCTCAGTTTTTATCAAAAACATGATGGTGAAAACCGCACATCGATATCTGTTACCGTTTTGGAGTTACGGGGTGTTTTTTAAAAATGTGCATTTAACAATCATTTTTTTTCTATGGAAAATTTTGTATTTTTATGAAAACATTTCCAAAGCATCTTTTTACGTAGAATTTAATGGTTTAAGTATATCTTTTTAAATTAATAATTTAAGAGTTATCAACAGAAAAGTTGACTTTTTTATATGGGATACCCTGTATATTTTTAATTCATTGAAAGTAATTTAAAATTACCTTTCCAAAAATATAGCATACTTGATATTTTGCTTGATTGCTCTTCGATATATAGATTTTTTAAAAATTCGCCCACTTCGAATCAAAAAAAAATTCTAGCTGTGAACAGCAATTAAACCGAAAATAATATTTGCAATGTGAGATGCAGAATTTTATAACAATTTAAACTATAGTTAACAACATCGACACATTTAAAATATATCAATAACAATAAAAATTAATAGCAAACCAAGACTTGAAATTTTGCTACAGATGATCGGCATGTCGACCGTCTTCTGTTATGGACAGACGGGACCGTTTTTGAACATTTCTCGCGGAATTCATTAACTCAGTAGGAGTGAAAGATAACCTCGCATAACCGCTAAGTACTTCTAATTTGTGTCTAGATTATACGGGTAATTTACAAATTAGAGCCTTTATTCTTCAGCAAAGATAAAAATCCATAGGTACTAAGTCCGCCTTGATGGCCAACGGCTGGGATCTTGGTTAGCTATTTAATTATTCTCGAAATTGGCTGCAAAAATTTGCTGATAACATCAGCGTTCTGAGGCGGTGCCTTGTATTGCTAGAAAAAATATGTTTGCGAGTTCTATTAGGGGCATTATCATCAATAAGGGGTCCAAAGCCTACTAGTTAAAAGTGGCGAACTTTTAAAAATTCTGTATTTCGAAGGAGACTATAACAAAATATCAAGTGTGCTATATTTTTGGAAAGCTAATTTTAAATTCTTTACAGTTAATTAAAAATATAGAGGGTGTCCCAAAAAAAATCAATTTTTCTGTTGATAACTCTTAAATTATTAATTTTAAAGAAATTATACTTAAACCATTAAATTCTACGTAAAAAGGTGCTTTGGAAATGTTTTTTTAAAAATACAAAATTTTCCATAGCAAAAAAGTTACAGCGATTTGTTAAAAATGCTTATTTTTGAAAAACACCCCGTAACTCCGAAACGGTAACAGATATCGATATGCGGTTTTCACCATCATGTTTTTGACAAGAATTGAGCTCCAGACACCGATATTAGTTTTTGTCTATCTCCTATAGAAAAGGGCGTTTGCCTTTAAAAGCGTCGAATTTGACCGACCCTGTACACTTGAAATAACTCAAAAAGGTAATAAGAAATAAATGAATATTAAACATATTAGCAATTATGATATCAGCAGGTTATTGTCCACATATGTACATATAAAAATAAAAGAAAATGTAGATTTTCGAACCCTTTCATACGAACCGAATAAAAAAAGATGATATCCAACTAGAAAATGGTAACGATATACTATTTTTCTTTGTATTCCTTATAAAAGAGGTTATTTACCCCGTTTAACATTAGCTCGATTATCTGTACATTCGAATAAAAAAAAATTGCTATTATTTATTTAATTATTAATAGTAACAAGTGTTTTTATATCTACCATAAAAGATCCTCTTTTATCAGAAAATTGGTAAGGTCTATTGGTATATAATTATTGTTTTCATATACCGGGTTTCCCAATATTCCGTGGATACAGAACTAATACGTATTTTTTGGATCAAAATAAGTTAATTGCACATAATTTACCTTTATACAAAAGTGCTCATACTACTACATAAATATTAGTATAAATATTTTCTCCAAAACTCCACCGACGGCCGATTTTCTTTTCGTAAAATGGCCCCTCTAGTATTTACTACATCTTTTGTCTCTTGTCAAAAATCGACATGGTGCATACTTTCTGAGAAAAAAAAATATTTTTCCAAAGCTGACTTCAAAAAAATATTTTTAGTCACATTAAGTTATGGAGGCGCATAAAATCTATTATGCTATACCAAGCTATACTAATCTATTTGGCGAAAATATAGAATTTTGTGTTAGTATCACAAATTATATTTGACGACAAGCTTCATAAAAAGCTTAAAAAAAAATTAAATTAATTAACGTTCGGGTTACTTTGATTGATGCCCTCTAACGGGCAAACAAAGCACTTTTGTATAAAGGTAAATTATTTGCAATTAACTTATTTTGATCTAAAAAATACGTAGCTGGTCTATGTCCACGAAATATTGAAACTCCCTGTATAATTGTGGGTCTGCTTTGGAAAAATAAATTCTTCAATTTCTTTTTACAAAAACTATGCGATGTGGCATTTTTTAAAAGAGGCAAAAAATGTGACCATTTCACGAAAAGAAAATTTTAATTATAAGATCCTTCAATTTGCAGCACTAGATTGACCATCTGTTAGCTCAAACCGAGACATTGCTAGTAGGGATCGGCAACACAAGAAATCTTGTCTTGACAAGCAATTTCTTGTCTTGTCTTGAAATATTTTCAAGAATTAAAAAAAATCTTGTCTGGACCATTTCTTGAGAGTTGATTTCTTGTCTTGATTCAAGAAAATTTCTTGATATCGTGACAAAAGGGGAACTCCCGTTTAAAATTCGTTTATTAAAGGGGAACCCTCTGTTTAAAAGTCGCGATGAGATTGGTTAATGTGATGTTTATGCTTTATGCGTAAAATCGAGGGTCAGGCATCTAATTTTTAAAAAATTCAAAAACTTGGGCTCATTATACATATTTCATACATCATATTTTAAGGTCTTACGGTCTACTTAACCTAATCCAGGGTGTGTAACCACTGATAATGCAGCTTCTAATTTTTGCCTATTTAAGAAAGTTATTACGTCTAAAACTTGGACACCTAAAATTGATCGATATTTGAGTGAACCTCGAGCAGATAATAACGATGATATACTTGATTGGTGGAAACGGCACGAAAATGTATACCCTTCGTTGGCAAAAATGGCCAGAAATTTTCTTGGAACACCAGCGACATCTGTACCCTCTGAAAGAATATTTTCAAAGGCCGCCGATTACAAAAAGTAGAAATAGACTAGCTTTCGATTCAGTACGGTGTCTCATGTGCCTTAATTCATGGCTCTCAAATACTAGTTTAAGCTTTTTAAGCAGCATTTACCAACCGCGCGTAAATAAAAATTACTTTTTTAGAAGCTGTTCTTGTTATCGTGTTTGATGTGTTTGCTATTTTGATATGTATTTTTTTTTTTGCAAAACAAATATTTTTGTACTTGGATATTTATTTTCATGGAAGATTTGTTTAATATATTTGGATTTAGTTGGAAGCCTTAAATGCCATAACTAATATTACCATGACTTTTAAATTCCAGCAACCGTGTGTTTGTTTTTTGTTTCTCCAATATGTATTTTTTTCTTATAAAACAATAAATATTTTTTATACTTATTGCAGTTTTTTAAATATCTAAAAAAATTAGTATTATGTAATATGGTTATAGCCTAAGATGTTGATTTAAAAACTAAATAGAACTTTCTAAAATGGGTCTACTTCAGTGGCGTACATTAAAATGTATTATTTTTTTTATTTTAAAAGTTTTGCGTTAATTCAAAATGTCTGTATGCCACTGAAGTAGACCCGCTTTGAAAAGTTTTTTTTAATTCTAATATCGTAGGCCATAACATATCCAAAAAATTATAACAAAAACATTTAAAAATAAAAAAATATTAGCCATTAAAAAAGGTTCCAATTTAATTTGGCCCACAGTATGCCAACTTTGGACATCTAACTTTGGACGTACTTATGTCAACTTTGGACATTGGACATCCGACAAAGTGCGGCTTCGTACAAATATTTTTTGCTTAATAATTTTGTTATCCATCAATTAATGAATATTCATATAATATACAAATACCTAAGTAAATGAGTATTTCTTTTTTATTTTATATTTTCAAGAAATTTCAAGATTTTCATGATTTCTTGTCAAGAAATCTTGATCTTGAGAAGTCATTTCTTGTCTTGTCTTGAAAAGGAAAAATAATTTCTTGTCTTGATCTTGTCTTGAAATCAAGACAAGATCAAGACAAGATCAAGACAAGATCAAGACAAGATCAAGACAAGATCAAGACAAGAT